ACACTGCAACCAAATTGTTTTGTACTTCTGTTTTAAACGCGGTGTGGGAAATACGCACAGATCGCATGGAGATGATTAACCTTCGAGGAGAAGTGAAATGCGTTGGAGAGCGTGGCCTGGCTGGAGCCCGGGCTGAGGCTGGTACACTTTCTTACCTGTGGTTTGCAGAGATGTGCGGCTCATATGGACATTTTCTCTCCCGTAAATTACTTTTGTGTGAGCTGTAGAAGGGTCTGTTTCTAAGTGTAGGATTCTGAGATCTCCAGGTGCAGCTGCAGCAATGATCAGCATTGCTGATTCTGGGTGCGTCTTCTTTACAGTTTGTGTACATTCAGAATTACAACAGCATGGAAAAGGATGGAAGGCCAGCTGCAGATGAATTGTTAGCTCTTCTGCCAAACACACAATGCAGAGCCAGGTAAAAAGGATAATTTTTTTGGCTAGGTTTTGTCTTCAGGGACTACGAAGTGTGCTGCCCTCGGTGACGGAAACCAGAAGCCGCGTCCAACATTTTCCTCTGCTCTTTGTCTGGGATAATGTAAGAGGGTTCATTCTGCTGAATCAGAGCTAATCCTACCGATGAGATAAGTGCAATATCTGAGCCCTGAAAACTGCAGACAGATCACAAAATATATCATAATTATGTACCTGCACCTCACTTGATTAGAAAGCTGCAGCACAGGCGCCGGATGAAAGTTTTCTCCAGACTGGCCTGATATGTGTCTGTATGGGTGGAGGAATCCCACCAATCAGAGCTCACACTGATGGAGATGTTGTAAGTCACGGGGTGTCCTTCACAATTACCCCGCTTGTATTACACCAGGATTATTCTATGTATCACACCTCCCCAGCTAGGTGTGGGCCAGTATTCCTGGTGGAGTCCCAGAACTATGACTGAGACGCTAAAGACTACCATCAAATAGTCATTCCCCATTGCTGGTGTGGAGCCCAGCCCCTCGCACACACATCAAATCCACCAATAACTGAAATAAGTTCAACATAACCAGCTGACCAGGAAAACATTTCTACAGGTTGGGTAAGGTACTGTTTGGTGGCTAAGATGCAATTTGGTGGGTTTAGTGGGTAGGTTACAATTTGGTAGTTGAGGTATGTTTTGGTGGGTCAGGAACAGTTTGACAGGTAAGGTGTGGTTTGGTGGGTAAGGAAAAGTTTGATGGGTAAGGTATGGTTTGGTGGGTAAGGAAAAGTTTGATGGGTAAGGTATGGTTTGGTGGGTAAGGAAAAGTTTGACGGGTAAGGTATGGTTTGGTGAGTAAGGGAAAGTTTGACGGGTAAGGTATGGTTTGGTGGGTAAGGAAATGTTTGATTGGTAAGATATGGTCTGGTGGATAAGGAAAATTTTGATGGGTAAGGTATGGTTTGGTGAGTAAGGAAAGGTTTGAAGAGTAAGGTATGGTTTGGTGGGTAAGGAAAAGTTTGACAGGTAAGGTATGGTTTGGTGGGTAAGGAAAAGTTTGACAGGTAAGGTATGGTTTGGCGAACACAGTATGGCTTAGTGGTTAAGGTACGGATGTATTTGTTAATGTATAATTTAATGGGTAAGGTACAAATGTTTGTGGATGTCACAAGCAAGGGTGTTAGTTAACATGGAACATGATTTGGCATTGCTGAAAGATTGGCCAAATCAGTAAAAAAAAAAAAAAAAAAAAAAAAAAAGCAACTCAATGTTTCTAAATGCTAAATAATGCACTTAGGGAAAAATAATCATCTAATAAAGAACAATATTGGGAGTACAATGTTGGCCAGAACTACAGAAGAAAAGGATTTGGCGGTACTTATTTTAGATAATTGTGAAATGAACAAACATTGTGGCCTGGCAGTCAAGAAAATTAAAAGGATTGTGGGGTGTATTACTAGAAGGATCATCATCAAGAGGAAGGAGGTCCTGATTTTCCTATATAGATCTTTAGTTATTACTGGAGGGATAACCAGAAGGAAGGAGGACCTGATTCCTCTATAGAGATCTTTAGTTATCAATAGAATGATCACCAGGAGGAGGTAGGAGGTCTTGATTTCTCTATATAGATTTTTAGTTATCACTAGAGAGATAACTAGCAGGAGGAAGGAAGTCCTGATTCATCTGTATAGACCATTAGTTATTACTAGAATGGTCACCACCAGGAGGAAGGAAGTCCTGATTCCTCAATATAGATTTTTAGTTATTATCACTAGAGGGATCACCAGCAGGAGGACGGAGGACCTTATTCCTCTATATAGATGTTTAGTTATCAATAGAATGATCACCAGGAGGAGGTAGGAGGTCCTGATTATATAGATTTTTAGTTATCACTAGCGGGATCACCAGAAGGAGGTAGGAGGTCTTGATTCCTTCCTAAAGATTTTAGTTAGCACTAGAGGAATCTCCAGCAGGAGGAAGGAGGTCCTGATACCTCTATATAGATCTTCAGTTATCACTAGAGAGATCTCCAGCAGGAGGAAGGTGGTCCTGATTCCTCTGTTTAGACCATTAATTATCACTGAAGGAATCCTGAACAGAGGGAAAAAAGTCCTGATTCCCCTATATAGATCTTGGTTATCAATAGAGGCATCACCAGCAGAAGGGAAGTCTTGATTTCTTCTATATAGATCATTAGGTATTACTAGAGGGACCACCAGAAGGAGGTGGTGATTTCTCTATATAGATCTTTAGTTAGACCTCATTAGGAGTACTGTGTCTAGTCCTGGAGAACTCACTTACATAAAGATATTGATAACACAGAACAAGTCCAGAGACAACCAACAAAAATGGTGAAAGATCTGATGGATAAAACATATCAGGAGACACTGAAAGGACGTAATACTGTATGTACAGCCTGGAGAAAAAGAGAGAACTGGGAACAGGACCAGGTGCGGACTGACAACTTATGGGCCCCCCAGGCAATAGGGGATCATGGGGCCCCTGTGTCCTTTCCCACACTCAACAAAGCCTATAAAAAAAGCACCAGGGGCATTTCATGGGGCCCCCTACTGACCCCGGGCCCTCGGGCAGTGCCCGAGTGCTCGAATGGTCAGTCCGCCCCTGGCCAGGACTGAACACTTTAAATACATGAAGGCTGTGACTTAAAGCGGTAAACTGCACTTAAAAAAAAAAAAAAAGTTTCTCCTGCAAGGTAATGTCATAACGTGTTAGTATGCATTGCATACTAGCACATTATGAGGTTTTCATCTTCACCCGGTCTTTCTTCAGGGTTTGCAAGCTCCGGCCGTCTGACTGGTCGAGCTGCCATAACGTCACTCCTGCGCCACGGCACAGTGCTCTGAAGGAACGGCACGGCTCCCTTTGGAACGCATGTGCCAGCTGTCATAAGGAGCGAATATCTCCTAAACAGTGCTTGTTTAGGAGATATTAATTTTACCTACAGTTAAAATGTATTATAAACCGGGCATACATGGGCAGGAACAAAAATTTTCCAACAAGATGGTTCTTGATAAAGTCAATCCATAGATCGAACAGGAATGGCCATAGATGGATCAAAATGCATTCGATGTCTGCTGAATGTTGATTTATCTATGGCCAGCTTAAGGTACAGGAGCAGGGGCGGACTGACCATTTGGAAACTCGGGCACCGCCCGAGGTCAGTAGGGGGCCCCTTGAGATGCCCCTGGTACCTTTTTCATAGGCTTTTTTGAGTTTGGGCAAGGACACAGGGGACCCATAATCCCCTATTGCCCGGGGGCCCCATGAGTTGTCAGTCCGCCCCTGTACAGGAGTGTAGTATTTTCAATATTTAGCTATGGGCAGCACAGTGGCTAAATGGTTAGCACTTCCACCTGGCAGTACTAGGGTTGTTGGTTTGAATCCCATCCACAGCACCGCCTGCCTGGAGTTTGCATGTTCTCCCTGTGCCTGCGTGGGTTTCCTCTGGGTACTCCAGTTTCCTCCCACACTCCAAAGATATGATGATAGATTAATTGTCTCCTGTCTAAATTGGCCCTAGTATGTGTATGTATGAATGTGAGTTAGAGACTTTAGTTTGTACACCCCTTGAGGGTTAGGGACTGATGTGAATGTACAATATATATGTAAAGCGCTGTGTAAATTGACAGTGCTATATAAGTACCTGAAATAAATAAAATAAATGATCAAGAACCTGGGGATGTGACCTCAAACTAGCAGGAGAAAGTTGAAAAATAAGAAAGTGTTCTTTTATTGAAATAGTGGTTGATGCTTGGAAAAGACTTCCAGCTTGGATAAGCCATAGAGGTCTATAGTCAGTCAAAAAGGTTAAAAAAAAGAATGTTAAAAAAAATTAAAAGGGAGCCGACTCAGTGGTCTATGTGGTCTTTTTCTGCTGTCACTCTTCATTGATTCTAGATTGGCCCAGCTAGCAGCTTGGAGGATATTTGGACAAGTCACACACAGTCCTCAAGAAGAAGCTACACCGATCAGTGATGTTTTATGCTGCTCCTCTCCAGTGGAAATTCCTCCAGTGACACTGCAGAGCCTCATCATTCATGTATGAGCTCATTAACATTCTGGACACGGCCCAGCATGCAGAGGATTATAAATGGTTGCAGTCACACACACAACATACGTACATGTAGACATCCGCTATCTTCACACACTGCTATCGCTCTGTGTCATCTGCATTGTTCAGAATTATCTTCCATTATCCAAGTGTGTAGGTTAAAGTCTGCTCAGCACTTCACCTAACCCCTGAGGGCAACAGACCCATGAAAGATGATTTCTGGTGTATATAGTAGATAAACACTTCAAGTCGCTCTAAATTGGCTGTCACCTTAGTGCCAAAACATCATGATCGGATCCAGTCCCGAAACCCAGAAGCCTAAAATCACATTGAATTGTTGCTTACAATGTAGTACAAATTTCTCGAGAATGTTTCTAGACATCTTGCATTTACCAAAGAAACATGACACAGTTTCTTCATCCTGAATTGTAACCAAACAAACCCTTTCCAAAACTAACTAAAACCATAGCCCAGTCCAACCCTACCCTTGATGCTGACCATGGCCTTAACCAGGGGCGGACTGACCATTTGGAAACTTTGGCACTGCCCGAGGCCCTGGGGTCAGTAGGGCGCCCCATGAGATGCCCCTGGTACCTTTTTCATAGGCTTTTTTGCGTTTGGGTAAGGACACAGGGGCCCCATGATCCCCTATTGCCCGGGGGCCCCCTGAGTTGTCAGTCCGCCCCTGCTACTGACCACGCTGTGTTCTCAGGCCTCATGTGGTCAGTTTTTAATAGGAAAGTAGAGAGACTGGCAGGAACACAAAGGAAGCAATACAAAGAGAACAGGAGACTTTTTCATACAAGTACATGGTACAGCAGGCACATATCAGGAATACTTGCCCTCCGCCCTAACACAGAAATACTGCTACAGGGCGGCAGGGCTGAGCAAAATCATGTGTATACAGGGGCGGACTGACCTTTTGGAAACTCAGGCAGTGCCCGAGGGCCCGGGGTCAGTAGGGGGCCCCATGAGATGCCCCTGGTACCTTTTTCATAGGCTTTTTTGAGTTTGGGCAAGGACACAGGGGCCCCATGATCCCCTATCTAACCTCTAACCAATTTTAATGCTAATACTGAGCCTAATCAAACCTTACCATAATCCTGATCCTAACCATAATCCAGACCATAACATTAACTATGACTATCCCATCCCAAATCCTGATACTCACATAATCTGAACCTCACTCAGTGCAGCTGCAGCACCTCCTCATCTCTGCCTCCCCTGGTCTCAGCATTCAGCAGGCTCTGGTAACTGACTCCACTCCACCTCTTGTCCTCCTCCAGACCCTGCACTTTCTGCTTTCTAGCTCTGCCCCCAAAGGGGGTGCACAGTGATGTTAAGGAGGGTGTGGGATTCTTGACATCTGATGTAATGGGGGGTGGGGTGCTCTGGACATCTAGTCTTACAGATACAACCAGTCCTCTGAGGGCAACCATAATGCTGATGCGGCCTGCGATGAAATGGAGTTTGACACCCCTGCTCTAGCCAATTGTGACCCTAACTCAACCCAACTCTTGATGTTGAACTTGATACAGATCCATCCCTGACCTTAACTTGATCTAACTATAACCCTGATATTGACCATGACCCAGACTGTAAGCCTGTGTCCACTCCATAATGAAGGTTACCATTGCCTGTCAGAGGTGTGTGTGTGGGGGGGGGCTGATACAGAGCACATAAGCCTTATATAAAACAAGGCAGACACAAGGTGAGAGCTGCTTGATACCCTCAAGCACTGTATTTATGTAACTGTAGCACTACCCCTTAGGGGTTGCTGATGAATTTGGGTCCAACTATAGTCCCGCACAGCCAGTCAGTTAGCATTTTCCACCCAAGCTTTCATCCATAGACAGAAATCAGTCCTTCAACATTTGTTATGTTATTTTATTGAGGGGATTAGAACTTGGATGGGGTAAGGGGTGTATAGGATGCCCAAGGGAACCGAAATCTGAGGACAACTGAACTATTCACAGCTTCTCTTCTCTGACACAGTCTCTGTTGGATTGTTAGCCAGCAGCTCCAGTTGTACCACCCCAGACCCTAGATGAACTCTTCTTCACCCAGCAATCTGGGCACTTTCTTCCTGAGCAGGGGATCTGGCTCCTGTTCCTTTAAGCAAGGTGTACAGTCACTAGCAGAGGGCTGCTCTGGTTTTCCACCAGGTGAACTCACTCAGATCCTCTCCTGTACTTCTTGTGGAATGGCTGCTGCTACCAGGCCTATAAGGTGGGCTGCTCCTTCCATGCCATACAGGTGGTCCTCTCTCAGGAGGCCAGTGAGTCCTGAGTTTTCCTCCTTTCCAGCTCCAGACTCGCAGGCAGGCCCCATCCCACTAGCCCTCCTAGCTGCCTTCCACCTCAACCTCACATCTCCCTCTCTCCTTCTTCCACCCAACTCTCCTGCTACTGAGCACCCTACAATATTTTTTAAGGACGTCCAGCCTCTTGCCAAGCCTCCTGTTGGTGATTTGCTGTGGTCCAGTCAACCACTCCTCAGAACCACCTACTGCCTCCAAGACCCTCCTCCGAAAGCCTCAGAGCAGAAGAAAATTCCATAGGGACTGGCCTGCAGAGTCTCTCAGTCCTGACCAGAATTTCACCCCTCTGGCTAGCTAATCTGAGCTGCTAACCAGCTTCTCACTATTCATTAGGGTCTAGTTCCCCTTAGCTAAACTAGGATGGTGCTAAATAAAGGTCTACCTCCATTTTCCTGAGTGCTAGGTAATTTCATTTTTTGCATTTTTTCTATTTATTGTATATAGATTATGTTCAGTGTACTTAGACTTCTGGGGAATTTTGATCATTGTGCTTAATGTATTGAAATTATTTGTTGTTGAGTTGATGCAGTAATGTAAACTTTCCCTTGATGTCCCAACACGATATTCCCTTTGTGTACCTCATACTCTGCATATACCATGATCCATACTAAAATTGAATTCCATAGTTTGTATAGAAGCAAATACAATATGTCTAACAAATGGACTAATGCTTAGAGGTGTGCAATAACGGATCCCTAACCATATCTCCATCCCTATCCTAATTGTAACTGTAACCCTGATCCTGAAAATGACCTTACCCCAATTCTAAATGGAATCCTAACCATGACCCTTACTCGGCTCTAACCCTGATTCAGTATGTGACCCTAACTCAGCCATAACACAGTTGCAGACCCTAACCCAACCACAACCGTGATCCTAGATGATCATAAATACAACTCTAAATGTGATCTTTACCACGAACCTACTTCTAATCCAACTAAACAATAACCCTGATCCTGATCACAGCCCTGATCCAGCCCTGAGTCTGAGCCTAACCTAACCCTGACCTTGTCCTAACCATAACCTTCATCCTGGCTCAGACCTGATATTTAGCCTAACCCAACCACAGCCATGATCCTAGATTATCTAAAATCCAATTCTGAATGTAATCCTTACCATAACTATCCCTAGCCCAACCTTTACCCTGATCCACCCAAACCATAATTTTGATTCTGATCCTGACCCTGACCAAGCACCTAACCTAACCCTGATCTTAACCCAGCACAGAACCTGAACCTAACCTTATTTTAACCTGACCCAACTCTAACCCTGATCCTGACCCAGACCTGATCCTGAACTAGCCAACCCAACCTTTATCCTAACACAACCTGACATAACCCTGATTCTGACCCTAATCCAGCCCTGACCCTGTCCTGATTCTGACCCTAACTGAATGCTGACCATAAACCAACTCAAACATAACCCAGAAATTGACTCAACTTTAACTTTTACCATGACTGTAACCATAATCCTGAAACTAACCAAATGCAAACCAAACCTAACCCTTACCATGACTGACCCAAATCTTGCCCCAAAGTAACCATAACTCTAATTCTCCCCCTAGCCCAGCCCAAGTCTGACCTTTACCATGATTTAAAGCCATAATCCTAATCCTGACCTTGACCCAACCCTGATCCTGACCCTACCCATCCCTAGTCATGACCCTAACCCTGACCCAGCCTTGATCCTAACCCTACCCATCCCTATCATGACCCTAACCCTGACCCAGTCTTGATCCTAACCCTACCCATCCCTATCATGACCCTAACCCTGACCCAACCCTGATCCTGACCCTACCCATCCCTAGTCATGATCCTAACCCTGACCCAGCCTTGATCCTAACCCTACCCATCCCTATCATGACCCTAACCCTGAGCCAGCCCTGATCCTGACCCTACCCATCCCTAGTCATGACCATAACCCTGACCCAGCTCTGATCCTGAAAGCTGTAGCTTTCTGTATATAAAATCATATATAGGGAAGATGTATTGGCACAACTCTGTATATAAAACTGTATAGGGAGGATGTATGTGGCAGAGCCTTAACAGTATGTATATAACAATATATAGGGAGAATGTATTCAGCAGAGCTGTAACACCCTATGTATAATGCTATACACAGAGGATTTATATGACACAGCTGTAACACTCTGTATATAACACTATGCATAGAAGATGTATACAGACCAGCTGTAACACTCTGTATATAACACTATGCATAGACGATGTATACAGACCGGCTGTAATACTCTGTATATAACACTATGCATAGACGATGTATACAGACCAGCTGTAACACTCTGTATATAACACTATGCATAGAAGATGTATACAGACCAGCTGTAACACTCTGTATATAACACTATGCATAGACGATGTATACAGACCGGCTGTAATACTCTGTATATAACACTATACATAGACGATGTATACAGACCAGCTGTAATACTCTGTATATAACACTATACATAGACGATGTATACAGACCAGCTGTAACACTCTGTATATAACACTATACATAGACGATGTATACAGACCAGCTGTAACACTCTGTATATAACACTATGCATAGAAGATGTATACAGACCGGCTGTAATACTCTGTATATAACACTATGCATAGACGATGTATACAGACCGGCTGTAATACTCTGTATATAACACTATACATAGACGATGTATACAGACCAGCTGTAACACTCTGTATATAACACTATACATAGACGATGTATACAGACCAGCTGTAACACTCTGTATATAACACTATGCATAGAAGATGTATACAGACCAGCTGTAACACTCTGTATATAACACTATACATAGAAGATGTATACAGACCAGCTGTAATACTCTGTATATAACACTACGCATAGACGATGTATACAGACCAGCTGTAACACTCTGTATATAACACTACGCATAGACTATGTATACAGACCGGCTGTAATACTCTGTATATAACACTATGCATAGACTATGTATACAGCACAGCTCTAACACTCTGTATATAAGTTCGGGACTCCTCCTCTGGTATCCTGCAGCCGCCTCTGCTGCTTCTTGTTCAGCAAGTTCTAAAAAGGAATTATTTATGTTGTCTGCATATTTCGGGTCCTGACTGCCAAACATGGCCAGTCACACAGGAGCACAGCCAGAGCACGGATGGAGATGACGCCCCCTATGATGTGCAAACATGGGAGGGGGAGTGTGTACTGTGTGTGAGAGTATAGCTGCCAACATCCCCATCTCTTGGGACGCTGCATGATACAGGAAAGCACCAAGCAGAGAAATTCTCTCCTTAAATCAGTATGAAAGCCCAGGAAGTGTTAACAGAGGAAAGAGCTGTGTATATTATATATATACAGATAGATATTTACAGTATATATTGTGAAGCACTGGCTGGCAGGATTGTGGATGT